TGTTTTTAGGATTTTTTTGGTTGTGAAGAAAGGTCACTGTAGTTCCACTAATTATTTTTTCTACATTATCTTTTCTCTCTCTTTCGTTGAGCTGGTTTCTGTTGCTATGTCTGCCTTTTAGTCCACTGATTTTTTCTTTCTTCTAAAGTGTCATAAAATCTGCTTTACTTTTATCTGGGAAAGGTTTCATTTCATTTTTTTTTTAATTTAAATTTAATTTTATTATGTTTTTGAGGCAAGAGTCTTGCTCTGTTGCCCCAGCCTGAGTATAGTGGCATGATTTCCATTTACTGCAACCTCCAGCTACCGGGTTCAAGCAATTCTGCTGCCTCTGCCTCCCAAGTAGCTGGGATTACAGGTGTCCGCCACCACGCCCAGCTAATTTTTATATTTTTAGTAGAGACAGGAGTTTCACCATGTTGGCCACACTTGTCTCAGACACCTTACCTCTAGTGATTCACCTGCCTCAGCCTCCCAAAGTGCTGGGATGACAGGTGTGAGCCACCACAGCCAGCCGGTTTCATGTTAACTTCTGCATTTTCTTTTTTTCTTTTCTTTTTTTTTAGACAGAGTCTTGCTCTGTTGCCCAGGTTGGAGTGCAGTGATATGACCTTGGCTTACTGAAACCTCCGCCTCCCAGATTCAAGAGATTTTTTTGCCTCAGCCTCTTGAGTAGTTGGGATTGTAGGCACATACCACCATGCCTGGTTGATTTTTTTTTTTTTTTTTTTTGTATTTTTAGTAGAGATGGAGTTTTACCATGTTGGCCAGGCTGGTCTCAAACTCCTGGTCTCAAGTGATCCACCCGTCTTGGTCTTCCGAAGCGCTGGGATTACAGGCATGAGCCACTGTGCCTGGCCTAAATACTGTATTTTCATCTTTATATATTCTGTTTGGTTTTTAGGACAATATTTTATTTTCCTCTTCATTTGTTTATTCATTGCTTTAAATTTTGAGCACATTTATATTAGTTGTTTTAACTTCTTTATCATAATTCTATCATGTTTTTGATTTCTCCTGGTTATGGATATTTTCCTGCTCATAGCTTGTCTAAATATTTTCTATTGGATGTTAGACATTATAGGTTTTATATTATTTTACTAAATTTAACTGTCTTTAAAGAGTGTTGGATTTGTGGTGCACAGTGAAGATGCTCATCTGTCAACCTGATCCTTTTCAGGCTTTGTTAGGGTGAGTCTGCAGTAATACTCTGGGCTAGTGTATGTCTGCTACTAAGGATGACCTTTTTGCAATATTTACTGAATTCTACAGCTGTTTGTTGACACTCCGTTCTGGCAGGTCAGAACTTTCACTACCATGAGTGAGGGCCATGAGAATTGTTAAGCTTAATGTTTCCTGATCATTCTTTGGCCTGGTTATGTTTCACCTTACATAGGTATAACTTAGTACTCAACTGTTTTCAACAACAGACACATGGGGACCTTCTGTAGATTTTTTGATCTCTTTATCGGGGGTAGTTCCCTCATTTTCAGTACTGTTCTTGCAGGGTACCTCAGCCTCATTGAACATGAGTCTTTGTTTCTTAACTCTGTGGACTCCTGTAGTTTGCTTAGGATCCTTCTTCCTGTATGTGATCTAGAAAGTGACTCCAGGTGTAAAGCGATGGCATTTCTAGAGCTCATCATGTTTGTTTCCCTTCCTCGTGGTTCACAGTCTTGTGACACCTCTTGGCATCACCTGTTGAACCTGTTATTTCATATATTTTGTCCAGTTTTGTTTATGATGAAAGAACAAGTTCAGCTACACTTACTCCATCATGCCAAAAGTGAAAGTCACCTAACTAACTACATTTTTATAAATGTAAAATTTCAGAAAGCTGATGGTTTTATGAACAGTAACACTTAACCCTCTTCTTTATAGGTATGGAGTTTTCATAAACAGCAAGAAGTCAAGAACATTCCTTTTAATTATGTTAGTCTTTACATCATAGCTTCCTTTAGTGCTTTTTAACTCTTGTTATAAGAAAAGCAAGTTACTTTTAGGCTTTCTGCTAAGTAAATGGGAACACTAAATTTAGTTACTTAGTCTTATGTTTTTTCAGCTACATGTGATTAATGATAGCTCTCAAGTAACTGCTTCTGCTTTCTCCTCTTTTTATCCCTGAAATCACTGTGCCTGCTGACTGCATAGTTGATTATGGGAGGCAGAGAGGATATGCAACCATTTAAGCTATTGTGAAGAAACTGGGGCTGATGGGACCTACAAGAGGACAAAAGTAGTAGGAAGGAGAAGTACCAAAGATGATTAGATTTTTTTGCATAATTATCTGGTTGATTGAGTTGAAGGGAGGGCATCAACTCAATCTTCAGGATGTTGAAGACTTGGTGCAGAATAAATTTTGGGCAAGAAAATCAGTTGTCTTTGGATATATTAGGTTTCAGATGCGATACAACAGCTTTGGAAGGTTGAGGCAGGAGGATTGCTTGAGCCCAGGAGTTTGAGGTTGCAGTGAACTATGACTCAGCCACTGTACTCCAGTCTGGGCCACAGTGAGACCCTGTCTCAAAACAACAACAACAAAGTAGAGATGATGGGTATATAGTTGGTTGTAAAATGACTTTAGTGTGCTATAGTGTTAGCTTAACTAATTGATTTCTTGAAGTTAAAATGTAAAATTTTACATTTAAATTTTTCTGTTTCTATGCATTTTCTACTATGATTTTTGTGATCACTTGCATTAACTTTCCAGATTTTAAATATATTGCTTCAAAAATTGTGAGCAAAATTTAAAAAATTTATGTCAGTGAATTCTGGCATGAATTATATCTTTTAGATAAACAATTTTTTTCTGTAACAAATACAATGCTTTAAAAATAAATTTTATGTGAAAGCATATGTTGATATCTAAGTCAACTAGCATGTATGATGAAAGATGTATGATGAAAGAAATATGTCCCTTATTTTCTCCCATTCCTTTGCTTTCCCACTCCAGAACAAGCAACTTCAGTTCTTTATTTTGTCTGGTGTTTGCTTGTTGCGTAGTAATTTATCACTATATTTTATTGATACATAACTTTTAAATATTTGTTGACCTCTGGTTTTTCAAAATGAGGACTTGGCTTACTCATTCACACGTTTGCCCACTTTCATTTTCCTCATTCCTCAACATAGTTATATCACAAGTTTTGCTTTTTTTGTTTTGTTGCCCAGGATGGAGTGCAGTGGCGTGATCTTGGCTCACTGCAGCCTCTGCCTCTCCCAGGTTCCAGTGATACTCCTGCCTCAGCTTCCCAAGTATTGGGGATTATAGGCACATACCATCATGTCTTGCTGATTTTTTTAATTTTTATTTTTAGTAGAGATGAGTTTCATCATGTTGGCCAGGCTGGTCTCAAACTCTTGACCTTAAGTGATCCGCTTACCTCAGCTGCTCAAAGTGCTGGTATCACAGACATAAGCTACCTTGCCTGGCCATATCACAAGTTTTTTGTAAACTAATACTGAACGTTTACATTTTTATAACTATGCATATATTGTTCAGTATTAAGCCAAATTTATACTAAGTCCAAGTCTTATTTTTTCTGGCATTAATACCTATTTCATTTAGGCGGTTGCCTGGATTTCTGTAGACCTATTGCTCATTTTCTGCAAATGTGCCTATGTTTTCTGTCATGAGCCTATGATTAACATTTTCCATATTAGCAAGCACACTAGTTCCATTTTTGCTCTTGCTGGAAACCTATTCCATAGCAGTTTTTGACTTCTCTTCAATTTGGAGTGGCTGTTCTCTGGTTCTTTTTTCTGTATTAGATTCCTTATTTACCAAGTGCCACAGTGCCTTTTAAAATTTTTATTTTTAACTTCTTTTAATGGCTTCCTAAGGAAGAGTACATGGACACAGAAGTTTAGCGTTTCACAAAGCTTTTTTGCTTTTTTTTAGACAGAGTCTCTCTCTGTGCCCAGGCTGGAGTGCAATGGCATGGTCTCGGCTCACTGCAACCTCTGCCTTCTGGGTTCAAGTGATTCTCCTGCCTCAGCTTCCTGAGTAGCTGGGACTACAGGTGCCTGCCACCATGGCCAGCTAATTTTTGTATTTTTAGTAGAGACAGGGTTCACCATATTGGCCAGGCTGGTCTTGAACTCCTGACCTAATGATCTTCCCACCTCAGCTTCCCAAAGTGTTGGGATTATAGGTGTGAGCCACCACGCCTGGCCTTCACAAAGCTTTAAAATGT